CACCTGAGCTGCACATCGGAATCACCTGAGCAGCTTTGTATACATAATTCTGGTGCGAGGCCCCACCCCAATGATCCTCACTGGTCGGGCTTGAGACCTAGTATTTGTTAGACATTTCCTTGGGTGGTTGTAATGTGTGGCCAGGGTTCAGGGACACTGTCTTTAAGTTCTCCCTGCTCAGGACAGGTACCAGAAATTAACAGGAATGAGGAAGGACTTCAGATTTCATGATCTCAGTACCTCAGAAAACTGTTTTTCCTCTATTGAATGCCACTGACCCATTGGAGAAAAAAAAAAATCAATAGTCTCAATGTGCCAGGATAAAGCATCTTAATTGGATTTTTTTCAGATAAATAAAATCCAGTCTATTTGCTATAACAATTAATAACAGAGGAAAAAAGAAAGGAACTAATGTTTAGTATGTGCCTTGATCCTACTTTTTAGGTCCTTAGGCATCTGTTATTCCACTAATCTTCCAAGCAAGCCAGAAAAACAAATGTTACCATTCTCATTTTTACAGTTGAGGAAACTTAGATGCTGAGGTGTTAAACTGACTTGTCCAAGGTCACACAGTTGGTAGATGATTATTCCAGGAGGCAAATAAACAAATAGGCGCCATCTGGCTCTCCTTGGACCATGCTTCCTTTCTAAAGAAAACCTTCTCAAGTGGTAATTCAGCAAGCAACAGAAACTTTCTGGCCAAGTCAATGAAAGAGACGGAGGGAGCACGACAATCAGGAGAAGGAGCCGGAAGAGGGGGGATTTAGGGGAAGGAATGACATCCAGTGTTGAGCTTGGGGGTGGTCAGGAAGGAGCCTCAGCTGGGCCCAGCAGCCATAAGCCACAAAACGGGAGGCCCAAGTCATGCCAACAGTCATGCTTTCACATGGATACTTCGATGGTCAGGCGGCAAGCATAACCAGTGTGTCATTGCATGAACTGTTTCATGCCATAAAGGTATGTAAGATTCAGCCCTGCCCTGGAAGGCTCCACAGCCTAGCAGGGGTGGCAGATTGCCTATGGGCAGGAGAGCTCGTGCCTTGCTCTAACAAAAGTTGAGTACCAAGAATTGGAAGCAGAGCTGAGGAAGCTGCTAACTTCAAAGAAAGGCTTCCCAGAAGAGGTGACATCTGAGATGGCTGTGGAAACAAAGGGACTCCTTTACCAGGCAGAGAAGTGAGGCAGAGGGAAAGCACAAACGGAGTCAAGGAGGTAGAAACCCACAAGGTGTGTGCTTGATCAATGGAAAGAGGCCCTTTGTAAGTTCCTGAGACAAAGAAATTATTACATTCTCACAGACACCCTGTTTTCATTCAAAGCTGAGATGGGGTCTTTTAGGCTGCTGGCTTTCTGACCATATTCGTCTGGAGTCATACAGTCAAAGCTCTGCCAGGCTCGCAGCAAGTCCTAGGTCATTTCGTGAAGGAACTGGACCCAGGTTTCTACCCCGCTCATAGCTCGTGCCACCCCTAACACAGTTGTCTGCTCATGCGAGGATTCCAAATTGCAAAATTGTAATAAAGCACTTTTTTCTGTCTCTGTATCATTTTCCTGATCGTAATTCAAATGAGATTTCCTTGTCTTATAAAGTGAGTGGAGCTGAGGTAATTATTTAAGAGTTCAGGAGGACAGCCTTTGAGATTAGAGAGCCTTCAAGCCAGCTCCCGTTAACATATCCTGGGTGTTTCTTTGAAGCCTGGAAAGTTTTTTAACTTCCACAGAACCTTTATACTGGTGTCCTGAAAGCAGCTACTCCCTTTCAGTTTAATTAACAGCAAACTTGACAGGTTTTAAATAACAGTTTGTCTCATGAAAGAACACTGGGCTGGAGAAACCCCAAATCCACTTAGTGGCCTAACCTGAGGAGTCACTGAGCCCTTTCTAACAAGCTACACAGCTGATTCGAATGAATGTATCTCTCGCCTCCCACTTTCTATATCATCTCAAACAACAGAGCAAGGGTGCCATGATAGAATAACGACACACAGCCTGAAGGTATCCTAGGCATATTAAAATCACTGCAGCTCCTTGCACTTAGAATGACTTCAAAGCATGTATAATGTGTATTGTGTGTCAATTAAACGCTGGTTAATAACCAGTAACAGGGTAGGAGCTCACTTATTTATTGCTTTACCTTCACTCAAAGTGTACCATTTTTCTGTCTCCTCCACATCCCTGGTCCTTCCGGAGTGACTAAGGTGAGCAGAAGACTCCACTAGAGTCTGTGCTGAAGTGACTTCCTGGAAGTTTAAGCCAATCCACATTCTTATGGAGTATTTCATTCCGCTTAGATTCACATCATTCTTATTTCCTGAAGGCTAACTGGCTTTAGTAATGGATTTAATCTACATCCTATTTGATGTGTTTTACAGATCTTCAAAAAGGAACATAACTAACTTTCAGTATCTCAGATCCGAGTCATTTAATGAGCTGGCAGATTCAGGGGCATGTGGGTGGCTCAGTCAGTTAAGCTTCCGACTTTAGCTCAGGTCATGATCTCATGGTTCTTGAGTTCAAGTCCTGCATAGGGCTCTCCATTCACAGCACAGAGCCAACTTCGTATCCTCTGTCTCTCTCTGCCTCTCCCCACACCCACACATGTTCTCTCTCTCTCTCTCTCAAAAATAAATATGGGTGCCTGGGTGGCTCAGTCAGTTAAATATCTTACTCCAGCTCAGGTCATTATCTTACAGCTTGTGAGTTGGAGCCCCACATCAAACTCTGTACTGACAGCTCAGAGACTGGAGCCTGCTTCAGATTCTGTCTCCCTCTCTCTCTGCCCCTCCCCCCATTCACATTCTGTCTCTCTCTGTCTCTCAGAAATAAACATTTAGAAAAAATTCTTTAAATAAATAAACTTTAAAAAAAAGTTAGCAGACTCAACTTCTAAGCCTTTCTATAACTGTTGAGGGCATCCATTCAGGTATATCCTTTCTTTCTTACCATTTACCCTAGGAGACCAGAGGTGGGATTATGACCTCTTCCATCTACACTGGTTACCAAACCCCTACTATCCCCATGGCCTCTGTTCCTTCTATCTTAGACGCTAGCCCCAGAGTCGCAGAAGGTGATCTAGTCCCAGACCTAGTCCCAGAAAGGCAGTACACAATGATTTTAATGTGCTTGGATTCATTCCACCATTTACCGAATCACAAAATGTTGGAGCTGAGAGCCATCATACGGTTCTCTATATCAAACTTTCTATGTTACTTAAAAATACCCAAGTCCTAGCAAAGTTAAGTGACTTTCCTAAGGCTTCACAGCTAGATAGTGGCAAACTTGGACCTCTAACCAACCACTTACTCTAAGTACATGCTCTGAGCCCTTGCTGCTCAGTGTTTTCTGAAGAACTCCAACAACAGCATCACCTGAGACTATTTTTGATGCAGAAACTCGGGCCCTACCCCAGACCCCACTGAATCAGAATCTTCATTGTTATAAAATCCCCAGGTAATTCACAAGCACGTTACAGTTTGAGAATCACTGGGCCAAGATCATAATATGTCTTTCTACGGAGAACATGAGAATTGGAAGCAAGCAGACATTGGTTTTGAAGCATGGCTTCACTTTTCCTAAATATAAGCAAATATCTCCTGGAAGCATCGTTTGTAATCTGGAAATATTAGCACCATCCACCTTGCAGTTTTCATTATATAAGCACAAGGTGGATATATGAATATACATCTCAAGATATATGAATAAATAATATATGCAAAGTGCCTGACATGTAGTAGCTAATATATCATATAATAGCTAATATTTCCAGTCTCATGCCTCCCATTAATATAGTGTTCAACCAAAAGGAAAGTCATAAGTGATTGTACATCATGAAGGAATCACTTCCTTCCTTCCTTTGTTCTATTTGCTCAATATTATTTCAACATTTATATGTGATTATGATTTCTATATTTCATATTTCTAAATCCCTAGAAAATGAGGATTATGCAGAAAACAAATAGTAATAACTAACTACTTTCAGTGCTATGCTTAGAAATGAAAAGACTTACCCCTAAGCCACATCCTAACCAAGAGAACACATTTTTCTTACATCCTGACCCTTGATCCTATAAACCTAGCCTCTAGTAACCAGAGAGTATCTGCTTCTGTTTCCACTGCTGTGATTTTCTCAGAGACTCAAACACCACAGAACGCACCCACAACTTTGGCAACAGCAGAGCATATTTAAAAGACGATGCTTTGTCACCCAATATGTCACATCTGTCAACATCAAGGAAAAGAGTTTGAATAGGAAAGGAAAAATCAAATTTTAGTATCTAAATCTGAACCAAAATTTTAGAAAATTTTAGAAAATACAGTGTGCTAAAGAATGTGAAACCATACCAAAATTAGATTTGTGGAGAAGGAATGTGATGCTAATGTCAATTAACCATGTTTCCCTACGGCAGTAGCTCGACTGTGGCTCTCCACCCTAGCAGTGCATTAGAAACAATGAGGAGGGTGCCTGGGTGGCTCAGTCAGTTAAGCATCCGACTTCAGCTCAGGTCATGATCTCAGGGCTTGGGAGTTTGAGCCCCACATTGGGCTCTGTGCTGACAGCTCAGAGCCTGGAGTCTACTTTGGCTTCTGTGTCTCCCTTGCTCTGCCCCTCCCCCACTCACACTGTGTGTGTGTGTGTGTGTGTGTGTGTGTGTGTGTGTGTGTGTCTAAATTTTAAAAAATTTAATTAAAAAAAAAAGAAAGAAAGAGGAACCTTTTTAAAAATTGAATACACATTTCTGAGGAAGGGACAGGGTTTTAAAAAGATTCCCAATTGATTTTCATGTGCAGCCAAGGTTGAGAACCACTGCCCTATAGCAACAGACACCTTGCCTTGTTTAAGAGAGTCGATCCAAGGAAGCTGTTGGTTGCTATTGACACAGACTTTCCCCAAACTCAAGATAACAGATTTAACATCAGTGTGCTCCCCTTCTAGGTCTTTTCGCCATTCCTCCAGGACTTCTACTATAAGGAAAGCAGCCCCTGGACCAACATCCTCTAAGATGTTTATATGGACCAGTGGCCGGACCTCTTCATCTTACAGACACAATGAGAAAAGGTAAATTACTGGGAACTCCTGGGGCTTTTCAGAATCACTTAACTTGACTATCCAGACAGCGTGTAAGTAGGAAAGCAAGAGGCAACTGAGCTTCATGTTTGGCATGTGTTAACGAGGGACGGGCACTACATTGAGGGAGGAGGGTTTCTGACACTCTAGCCCACTCCCTTACACTCTTGGTGCTCCCTCCCACTGCATCGCTTTGCAAAGGCTCTTCCCTGTCAGAGATGCCCTTCACCCATACACACACCTTTCCCCACTTAGCTAGCTCCAGCTCTGCTTTCAGAATATCCATTCAATCAGAGCCTCCTGCCATCTCTTGACCAGCATGGACACTGTGGTTCACAGTGAATTCCCAGCACCTTCCACTGTCCGTGGCATACAGTAAATGCTCAATAAATACTGAACCAAAATGATGAAAATTGCCTTTCAAAGACATATGGCAAGGAAGGAAAGCAGAAACTGCAAGAGGGTGAAAAGAGGTTGCAAGCCCATGAAGCCCTCAAGGTCCTTAGAAGAATAAGTAGCATGGGGCAGGGGAGGAGTGGAGGAATGAGAAGAAAGATTGACAGGCAGAGGCAATGTTAATAAAAGACAAAATGACAATTACACAGTTCAGTCTAGCCCTCCCACTTGTGTTTAGGGAACAAATCCATCCATAAAATTCTCAGGCCATTTTTAAATATTTGCTTTCTCTCCATTTATTGTCTTCTGCTTCTCTCTTTTCCTCATTGGCCTTATACTATTACTTGGGTTTGTGGAGTTCGAAACACAACTACCTACACCAGCATACTGCAACTTAAGCAAGGCTCACCTGCTGCAGACGCTGACAGAAACCAGACTTGATAAATGGTGCTGGACACAGGAAGGACCTGAGGGAGGTTGACTTGAATGCAGTTTTGAGAGCTGGTACTTACATTTTTACTTTTAAAGTCTGTATTACCCTACAGAGGAAATCCTTTGAAAACTGCCAAAAGCAAAAGTGTTCTTCCCAGTAACTATATATTACAGCAAAACACTTGGGAACAACATCAATATTCACAAAAGAAAATCTGTTAAATAAATCATGGAATGTAATATATTACTTAGCACTTAAAAATACTTTGACATAATATTAACTGAAAAATCAGGTTGAAAAATTGCATACGATCTATGATTGCAGCCACTATGTGTACACACACACACACACACACACACACGTGTATATATATGTGTGTGTGTGTGTGTGTGTGTGTATATACACATATATACACACACAGGAAAAAGAAGCCTGGAAGGAAAAACATGTTTTTCACTTCTCCATTTTCCAAATGCTTTGTAATATGTTATACTATCTTAATTATGGGAAAAATAATGATATGAAATTTAGGTAAAATTGCAGCCCAGAAGGCAACTAGTGTTTGAACAAAGTCCTACTGCTCAACACAACACAAGAAGATGGACTGAAAATTCGCTGTCTTTGTTCATCTCTAGGTTTCCACATGCTTTTCCTCAGTGCTTAATCAAGCTATTGTTCATATGCTTTCAAGCCAACTAAGTGAATTATTTTTCAGCAAGATCTTTACTGTAAGACTAAAACTTGGTGTGTCATTTGAAAATTTCATATTTTGAACTTAATCACCTTATTTCCCCCCACCACCACAAAAAAGAAGTCCCTGACAGTGATAGCGAGAAATGACAGGGACTGTGCTGCTCTACAGCAATATTGTGACTTTCAGTGGCCAACCTGTCTGAGATTTTGAAGGCTTCATCAGAGCAGGTGACGTGTGATTTATTTCACCTTCTATTTATTCTCACTGAATAATTTAATTAAGCATATTTTAATATATGAATAACATTTTTACAAATAGTTTAACACTAACAAGAAATTGCTATGTACTATATGTTTTATATAAACTACTCTCATTTATAAGATAGAGAATGATTATGCCTGTTTTACAGATGAGGAAGCTTAGGCTCAGAGATTTTTAAATAACTTCCAAGGGTCCAATGACTGGCCAGTAATGGAATCAGAATTTGAACTCAAGGTCATATTCTCTCCCCTGCACCCTAGAGCTTCCATAGCCTCTTTCAAACATGAGACACTTAGAACGGCAATGAACAGCCAAGCCCACAGCGGGGAAGGTTATATTAAAATAAACCTGAAAACTGCATATCAGAGGAGATTGTAACCACGTGGATATGATATGTTGGCAATGTTTGTGGAATTAAAGGGAGCCAATAACTAGCTTCATATTCTACACCATTAAAATTATATGAAACTCTTAAATTACTACTTTAATTTTTTTGTTTCAAATTATGATTTCAATAACTATGAGATTTAAAATAATTAAAGTATTGACTCTAAGAAATAATTTTCAGCAAGCTTTATTTATGGGATAGGAATGCCAAGACTATGAAATCAATCTGCACAGTTTTAGCCTTGAAAGTCAAAGTCAAATGAAAAAACAGCCAATGAACACAGCAACAGAATCTGCCACTAAGCCAGTATCCCTAGTTTGATAGTGCATCTGTCTGTACCTCTCCCTTGACCACACCTTCCTCTTCATTACCTAATTCACAGACTCCTTCGGGAGAAGACTCTGATTTTAAACCTGATTTGGAACAGCGTCTATTGTGCTGCTTAAGATGCTCTTAGTGGCAGTAATCATGGTGGTAACGAAGGTGATGATGGCTGATAATGAATCTCGATAATTAAGGTCCTCAAGTTAATTATTTGGAAATAAATGAAGTAGGTTGTCTGGCAGCAGTGCCCGGCCGGCCGTGCTGGCAATCATTCCACCTGCACTTTCTTATTCTGCAAAGCTGGCCTTCGTGCAACCGGCTTCCCCAGCTGCGCTCCTAAGGCAATCCCAGGGGCCAGGCAGCCAAAACTCTTCAGCTCCTCTCTGTGCCACCTCTTCTCCAGACCACAGCCAAACTTGTTAGGACACAGGCTTCCCTGGGATCCCTCAAGAGGTGAAACATCAGGAAATAGCTTACAGACAAGCAGAGCAACTCAAGAGAAGGAAAAGTCCACCCGAAATCCTGAAACCAAATGTCTTATGGCTCAAGGGAAGTTAAAGTCAATGTTGCATTTTTTCCCCATCTGTTTAATTCAATGCCAGTCCTTGTTCTGATCATCTGCTCTATGCAAAACACTGATTTCCATCCTTATCCCCCATTTCACACAGCAGCAGTATGAAGGAATACTTTTTCATCTCTGAACAAACTTCTTTGTTAGGTGAGCTTAGTTTAATCCCTAAATTGTAGGCAGCACAATAAAACAGCATCAACAATAACTAATTCAGAATTTAAAGAAGAGAGAGGTTATCAGCTAAGGACAGTACAGCCAAGCTTTTATCAAATATTCTTTGGATTGTTTTTATTAAATAGTGAACGATATAAAGGAATATTTATCATGTTAACACACAAAGGATGAGGATATAATAAGCATCTGAGTACGCTTCATTAAGGTTAAAAAATGAAGCAATCAGAATCTTTGAAGCTGTTGAGAATACTTCCCTAATGGCACCCTCCTCCCTACCCAGAGATAACTACCATCCTGAATTTTCTGTTTGTCATTCCCTTGCTTTCTCTTCAGGAGTTTATCACACTTGAATCTTTAAACAATATATTGTTTACTTCTGAATGTTCGGAGGCTTTATATAAATGGAATCATGCTTTATGAATTATTCTGTAACTTTTTTCACCAAACATTGTTTCTATGATTTATCAGTGCCAATGTGAGTAGAGTAGTACAATTCATTTTCTCTGCTATGTAGTATGCTATGATATGAATATACTACCATTTATTCATCCAGTCTATTGCTAATAGACATTTGCATCATTTCTAGTTCTTTTTGTACCAACAATGCTGCCATAATCCCTCTTGTCCATGCCTCCTTGTACACTTTGTACAAATATTTCTTAGGATATATACCCAACTTGGGTATATTTACTTCAAAAGCTTCCACTCTACCAGGTAATGCCATTGCTTTCCACAGCAGCCATTAATATGATTTCATTGCTCTACAACCTTATGAGGGTTTTCAGACTTTGTTTTTTAAGTTTATTCATTTCTTTTGAGAGAGAGAGAAAGCGAGAAGGAGAAAGAGAATGAGTGGGGAGAGGGGAGCAGCAGAGAGAGAAGGAGAGAGAGAATCCCAAGCAGGCTTTGCATTGTCAGCATAGAGCCCAATGCAGGGCTCAAACTCATGAATTGCGAGACCCGAGCCAAAAATCGAGTCTAATGTCTAACTAACTGAGCCACCCGTGTGCCCCAGGTTTTCAGATTTTTAATTTTCACCAATCGAGAGGGCACTATGCCTTCAAGTTCCATTTCTCAGATTACTAATAATACTGAGCCTATTTCCTTTATTCTTCTCTGTGAATTGTGTGTTCAAATATGTAGTCAATTTTTCTACTGAATTTTTTGTCTTTTTCTTACTGACTTACAGGAAATCTTTGAAAAATGTATATTAACCCTTTGTTTACTGTGTGCAAATAGCTTCTCCCAGTTTGTCTTCACCCTCTTTATGATGTCTTCTCATAAATATATGCTCTTATTTTAATGTGTTCTAAGTTAGCAATTTTTTTGAACATTTTGAAATCCCTTCCTACTCCAAGTTCACAATTTCCTTAATATTTTGTAGGTGTGCCTTTCACAATTTAGTCTTCAGTCATCTGAAGTTGACTTTTGTGTTTTGTGAAATAGGCATCCATTTTTTTTCCCTACAGATAACCAAATGGCCTCACACCTTTTCTTAGATAGAATATCCTTTCCCCAGTGATCTAAAAGCACACATGTATCATATATCAGATTTCCATGTGTGCATGGATATGTTCCTGGAACTCCATTTTATTTCACTGGCCAACTTTGTCTACCTCAGATAGACAGCACGCTTGAGCTTACAAACTTTAGCGTTGTAATAATCTTGATATCTGACAGGAAAAGTCACTCGCCTTGTTCTTTTCTAATCAGACATGGATTTGCTATCCTTAAATGTTTGTACTTCCAT